GATACGATCTTTCAGAGGAATCCTAAACTTGGGGAAATCAGCGCTGCGGTAGGGCTTTACCGGAGGTTCGGGATCTGAAGTTGACGAAGGCCGGAGAGCAACGTCGCCTGCTTTTGCCTTAGGCGCTGATTTGGCTTTTGGCACCCAAACTTGTCTGGATCTCGGCGATCTCTTAACTGCCTCTTCCTTTTGCATTTCTTGTGCTTTTCGCACAAGGGTCCGGGCATGCGCAAGCAAGGTGCGGCGCTTCTGGATTCGCTCCTCGAGAGTAGAGCGGGTTCTTTGGACACGAACCCATCCGTTAATTGGAGATCGAGAGGAGGATTTCGATGCTGGTCGTGGCGACAGATTAGCCACTTGGTGCTTTCTGAGCTCCAGATCTTCTTGGTAATGGAGACCATCCATCTGATCCAAAGCCTTGGCGAATTGGCGCGCGAGGCGTTGTCGTTTCCTTTGACGTGCTCTCTTTGATAGAGTTGGCGCGCCTTCAGCAGTCGACTCCTTAATCGCGAAGGAGTTCAAATCTGCAAATTTGGCTTCATTGAGCGCCGGTGGATCATGGCAAGGTGCAACAGCAACAGCGACGGAGAGATCATCTTCTTGGATCTTCAGATCTGAAGACTAGCAGATCTTTCTAGAGGAGGAGGCACTTCTGCACTTGCCAGGAGAGGCGGATCTGGAGGAGGAGGCACTTCTGCGCTTGCCAGGAGAGGCGGATCTGGAGGAGGAGGAGGAGACGTACTCCTCGAACTTTTGCTGGTCAAATTCATATTCGACCTCTTCGAGCACCGGGATCTTGATCGTCGGCTGCGGCATGACAGCTTCGGCAGCGAAGCTGTTGGCTCCCACTGTAGTCGCCAGTTTGTTTGCAGAGAAAGTTGCTATTTCCATTGTTATCGAATATATTACAACTTTAGTCGTTACAATAAACTCGAATGAATTAAAAAGTTGATCTTTTTATAAGATCTCCTTACACAATGAAAATAAGAAAAAGTTTACAACTTTATCAAATAAACGCAGAGATCGTTCATCGGTCTTCTGCTTGCGTGGGTGTCTTTGCCTGTGCCGGGGTTTATCCGTGGACCACCGTCGATCAGATCTGATTGCTGAAAAATTGGGCAGAGCTTCGTCGATCCGCGAGGAGATCTAGAAACTTGAAGCGCCTATCTCGGATAAAGTGAGATATTTGCTCTTCTTAGTATTATCGTAACGGGATAATACTAAGGATCGGGTACGGGTGATGTAGATCTGACGAAGAACTCTCTTGCGTTGAAGTGCTCGATCACTCTTCACTCCGGCAGGGCTTCGCCTCTTCTCCAAAATTCCAGATCCGATCTCTCCTCCTCCTCTCTGAAATCTGTGTACTTTTAAGTCTTCAATCCGGCAGGGCTTCGCCGAGGCACACGAATTCCAGCCCTGAAAAAATGAGGCCTAAGGCTTGTATTTATAGGCATGAGGGGTTGTCTCTCAAAATCCGGGACACCCCTGGGGTGTCTCACAAAATCCGAGACACCCCTGGGGTGTCTCGGAGGGGTGTCTCGGAATTTCCGAGACACCCTTGGGGTGTCTCGGAAAATCTGAACACCCTTGGGGTGTCTCGGAAAATCCGAGACACCCCTGGGGTGTCCTGGAAGATCCGAGACACCCCTGGGGTGTCCTGAAAAATCCGAGACACCCCTGGGGTGTCTCACATTGGCCGAGACATTCCGTTGAGGTGCATTCGTCCGCTTCCGCTGTAAATTCTTCGTCCGAACTCGGATTTTAATGATTCGAAGTGCGTTGGAAGTCTAACGAAGAGTTCTATCAGCTCCAATGGTTGGATTATCTGTATAATGAACGAGACACGAAGGGCGTTGTTCTTTTTGTAACATCGCGGGGCTCTCGATTAGCCCGTGCCTTCGTTATCCCGAAATTCTGTCAGCTCACGTAGTTCGTCGGTTTACTTCAATCGTTCATCGACGTCAGTCGAACTCCTGTGAACCAGATAGTGACATTCATCGTCGTTCCTTAACACTGAGCTGTTCGTGGAGACCTATAGGCAATTTTCGACGCCTACAGAGACCAGAGGTAAATAGAGAGAGAGAGAGAGAGAGAGAGAGAGAGAGAGAGAGGGAGAGGGAGAGAGAATCATTATTGTGAGAGGAGAGAGCATCAGTTAGTATATATAAGCGGGAGGGCCCCACCATAAATAGTCGGGCTTGGGAACCCTGACTATTTGGTCCCTTAGTCGATTGTGCATCTTCGAGTGAGGGGGATTTGCCAAATGATCGGGGTTGGCAACCTCGACCATTTTGGTCGGGCGGTTACCAAATGATCGGGGGTTAGCAACCCTGACCATTTGGTGGGCATATTTGAGGAGGATGTTGGCCCTATGGTTTTGATGATGATTTGTCAAACAATTTATAGCTAATATATTTTCTTGTTTTTGTGTTTTTTTTCTCTTTACAGGAATTCAAAACACAGCAATCAAGAGCTAAAGATTCAAGTTCATGTTTGTACATTCACCTAGGTATAATAGTAGTTTGCTTACATATATCGTATGATTATATTTAAGCTCAATATGTAAACACAACACAAGTTTGACTTTCATAGTTCAATTTTCATGTTCACGAAAAACAGGTTTTCTGAACACTTTTCAAAAACAGTGAGTTTTCATAAACGAAAATTGCATATCTGAAAATTCCTTTTCAAACATGTTTATTTTATCATTTAGAAACTTTTCTCAAAGTTTTACTATTTTTGGAAATGATTTGATATTTTTTATGTATTTTTAAAGTCAGCCAAAAACAGGTTCAAAACCTGATTTCAGCATGTATCAGTTTGGGGTCGACTGCCACGATCGACCGCCAGTAGTTCTTTTTCAATTATGCCTTTTATTAGATCGCGGTCAACCGTGACGGTCGACCGTGGCTTAATCCAGAGACTTTCACGGTTGACCGTCACGGTCGACCGCCTGTGTTTCATCTCACTGTCGACCGCCGAACTGATGATTGCTTTTCCAACGGCTATATTCTGATTTGATTCTCTGGGGGTATTTTGGTCTTTTCAATGTTATTTTGGCTGATGTCTTGAGTGGGTATAAATACCCCATTGCTCTCCTCTTTCAACATCCAAGAGTTTGTTTTACAGTAAGTTTTTAACAAAATATTAAGAGGTGTTTAAGAGTTGTTTAAGCTGATTTTAGTTGTCTGTTTCAAAAGAAGTTTTCTACAACAAGAAGAGGCTTTTAATTCCAATTGAGGATCCTATCATCATCATCATCTACTGTTCATTTTGTTTATTGAGAAGTTTTCTAAACTCTTTCTTATATAGCTTATTAATTCATTTCATAACTTAGCTATATTGAATTGAGTTGCATATTTTCATTCACTGGTATCGCACACACCTTATTGAGCTTATAATATTTCCATACAATATATTGTTGGGTAGTGGTGTGTGATTTAGTGAGATTGAGCTTCATTATGTTCTCATCTGTTATCGAGAACAAATCATTGTATTTAATCATTATTGTGAGTATCACTTGTAATACACTTGTACACCGAGAGAAGTGTGATGCGTGAGACGGGGTCGAATCCAATAGGAGTGGCGTCGGTTGACGAACCTAGGGAGAGGTTGTATCCGAACACTTGATGAGGAGGACACGAGCTAGGTTCCTACACTTAGTGTGTAAAGTGTGATTGCATAGTGTTTGTTGTGTGAGAGTTTTCGGTAAACTTGTAAACCGACTGTGTAGAAGTTCCGGCTTCCAAACCGGATTGTGATAGTGGAGATCTCCTCGAGGTGAGGAGCGGGGACGTAGGTCGTGGTGACCGAACCTCGTAAACATATTGTGTATTTGTGTTTTACTTAGCGTATATTTTATTGGTGCTTATTCATATCATTCTTGTTCATATCCATATCATATAATTTTAGCAAGAACAAATTAATCAATATAATTTTAATTGGTATTTAATCGGGATTAGATTAGCATAAGACCCTAATCACCCCCTCTCTAGGGTCTAACAGAGGAGTTGGGGAAATGTCTGCCAAATAATCAGGGTTGGAAAGCCCGACCATTATGGTCGGGGTTATCAACCCTAAAGAGTTTGGCCCCTAAATCTCGTCGCTAATCCCGCAAGGAATGAGATGTGCTCCTAACCGCGACAAGTTAGGAATTTAATTTTTTTTTTAAATGACCCCGTTTCTAACCATGATGTTGACATGACTAGATAGTGGGTCGATTTCTGTAATAAAGTTTGGAACAGATCAATTTTTGGGATAAAAGTTTAGATTGGATCTGTTTTGAAAATTTCTTCATTTTATACTTGGTTAACAAACGCCTTATTTCTTCAGTCTAAAGGCCGAACCAGTTTTCGATTAAGGGCCCGTTTGGTTGGTTTCCTAAAATCAAAGAAAAGGAAATCGGTACAAGGAAATCAATAAAATAATATTTTTATCTATTTCCATCCCTAAAACTCACCCATAACATCCAATAAAATATTATTTTTATCATCCAACTCATCTCATTTCATCTCATTTCTTACCTTTAAAAATAAACCAAACACAAGAAATGTATCACATCATCCAACTCATCACATCTCATCTTATCTCATTTTTAAAAATCACACACATTATCCAATAATATTATGATAACTCATCTTATCTCATTAAACCTTCATTTTCATCCATTTCCTCAAAAAAAATAAGAAATTGATTTCCTTAAGTATGTGTCACATCATCCAATAATATACCACCAACTCATCCCATCTCATCTATTTTCTTATTTTTAAAAATGAACCAAACACAAACAACCTCAAAACATCATCCAATAATTTACCTCCAATTCATTTCCTTATTTTTTAACCAACCAAACAACCTCAAAACAATATTTTTTTAAATCACTCACATCATCCAATAATAAGGTGACAACTCATCTCATCTCATCTCCTATTCTATAATTTCCTTCTTTTTTTAAACCAACCAAACATCCTCAAAACAATTATTATAGGAAATAGATTTCCTATTCTTTCATTTCCCATTTTTTTTTCCGAAACGAACAGCCCCTAATCCTCAAACGAAATCAAACTCCATCGCCCTTCAATTACTCCCTCCTCCTCTCTTAAATCCCTCTCTCTCAGAGATCCCCAAATTCCCCTCAAAATCCTAGGGTTTCATCGTCCTCTTCCTCCAAAATCCAGATCCAGATCTCGCATCACAAAATGGAGAAGGAAAAATCCTGCACTCTCCTCGTCCACTTCGACAAGGGAACTCCCGCACTCGCCAACGAGATCAAGGAATCGCTCGAAGGCAACGACGTCGAATCCAAGATCGACGCCATGAAGAACGCCATCATGCTCCTCCTCAACGGCGAAACCCTACCTCAGCTCTTCATCACCATCGTACGGTACGTTCTCCCTTCTGAAGACCACACCATTCAAAAGCTCCTCTTACTGTACCTCGAGATCATCGACAAGACCGACTCCAACGGCCGCGTTCTCCCTGAGATGATCCTGATCTGTCAGAATCTGAGGAATAATCTTCAGCATCCTAATGAGTATATTAGGGGAGTTACTCTCAGATTCCTGTGTCGGATCTCGGAATCTGAGATCGTTGAGCCGTTGATTCCTTCAATTGTTTCGAATCTCGAGCATCGGCATCCGTTTATTCGAAGAAATGCTGTGCTGGCGATCATGTCGATCTATAAACTTCCAAATGGAGAGCAGTTGCTTGCTGATGCTCCTGAGACAATCGAGAAGCTTCTGGCGACGGAGCAGGATTCATCCACGAAGAGGAACGCTTTCTTGATGCTGTTCAATTGTGCGCAGGATCGAGCGGTGAATTACTTGTTATCGAATATAGATCGGGTTTCGGAGTGGGATGAATTGCTGCAAATGGTGGTTCTTGATTTGATTCGAAAAGTTTGCAGGTCGAATCGAGGTGAAAAGGGGAAGTATATCAAGATTATTGTGTCATTGCTTGCTGCTCCATCGGCGGCGACGACTTACTGTCAGCTTTTATTGTCACAGAGTGATAACAATGTCAAGCTTATTTTGCTTGATAGGTTGAATGAGCTCAAGAGCTCACATAGGGAGATCATGGTAGAGATGATAATGGATGTGCTAAGGGCTTTATCGAGCCCGAATCTTGATATTCGGAGGAAAACTTTGGATATTGCTCTTGAGTTGATTACTCCAAGGAATATTGATGAAGTGGTTCTTACCCTTAAGAAGGAGGTGCGGCGACGACTTACTGTCAGCTTTTATTGTCACAGAGTGATAACAATGTCAAGCTTATTTTGCTTGATAGGTTGAATGAGCTCAAGAGCTCACATAGGGAGATCATGGTAGAGATGATAATGGATGTGCTAAGGGCTTTATCGAGCCCGAATCTTGATATTCGGAGGAAAACTTTGGATATTGCTCTTGAGTTGATTACTCCAAGGAATATTGATGAAGTGGTTCTTACCCTTAAGAAGGAGGTGGTTAAAACTCAGAGTGGGGAGCTTGAGAAGAATGGGGAGTATAGGCAAATGCTTGTGCAAGCTATTCATTCTTGTGCAATGAAGTTCCCTGAGGTTGCGAGCACTGTGGTTCATTTGTTGATGGATTTCTTAGGGGATAGTAATGTGGCTTCTGCTATGGATGTGGTTCTTTTCGTGAGGGAGATTATTGAGACTAACCCGAAATTGAGGGTGTCGATTATTACTAGGCTTTTGGATACATTTTATCAGATTCGGGCTGCGAGGGTTTGTTCTTGTGCTCTTTGGATCATAGGAGAATATTGCTTGTCTTTGTCTGAAGTGGAGAGTGCCGTATCGACGATAAAGCAGTGCCTCGGGGATCTCCCATTTTACACCGTGGCTGAAGAGGGTGATGGAAATGATGCTTCAAAGGGTTCTCAGCAAGTGAACTCTTCGGTTACTGTTTCTTCTCGTAGGCCTGCTGTTCTTGCTGATGGGACATATGCCACGCAGAGTGCTGCATCTGAAACAATCATCTCAGCACCTGCGATTGTTTCTGGATCTTTGTCTTCAACAGGAAATTTGAGATCTTTGATCCTTAGTGGAGACTTCTTCTTAGGAGCTGTTGTGGCCTGTACTCTGACTAAGTTGGTTCTGAGGTTGGAAGAGGTGCAGCCATCAAGGGCTGAAGTGAACAAGCAGACTGCTGGGGCTTTGTTGATCATGACGTCTATGTTGCAATTGGGGCAATCTTCATACCTTCCGCATCCAATTGATAATGATTCTAATGACAGGATTGTGCTTTGCATAAGGCTACTATGCAATACTGGTGACGTGGTTAGAAAGATTTGGTTGCAATCATGCCGTCAGAGTTTCGCGAAGATGCTTGCAGATAAGCAGTTCCGGGAGACACAGGAAATCAAAGCAATGGCTCAGTTTTCTAATGCACAACCAGATGATCTTATTGACTTCTACCATTTGAAGAGCAGGAAGGTAAGAGAAATACAATCTCTCATGCATTTTGTTACTTTTATTATTATTATTCTCTATGAGCTTTCCATGTGTTCTCCGATCATAAAGTTTGTTTTAATGCCTATACTGGTAAAATGTTGCTTTCTAGCTAGTTTCAAACTTTTGCTTATAACCCAGTAAGGTGTTCCTGAGTAGATCTTGTTATCAGAATTGTAGGATAGTTGCAATATGCACCCACCCACAAAACCAGCAAGGTGAAAATGCAAATGAAACTGGATGGATAATTTGAAACAACGGCCATCCTTCTATAATCAGGTAGCAGGTTCTGAAGATGTCAAATATGTTTGAAGTATCCCTAAAATCATTGAATAAAAGTACTTCAAAGATGTAAACATGGTGAAACTCTCTTCATAGCAGTCTCAAATTTCATTTCATTGTCAGAGGGAGACATGAAAGGAGATGTAATGGACCAGAGGATTTGTCTGAAGATAGGAGTTTGTTGATTTTGCCATGAAACCCTTTTTCCTAAATAATTATAACTAAGTTTTACGCCTCATTACTTCTTTCTTTTTGCTTTTTTGGGGTGTTTGGAAAATTGTTAGTGGATATGGAAGTGCATAAATCACTTTGTTTTTTACAATTGTGAAATTGCGTATATAAAAGCATGCAAGTGAAATATAGTGTTTGGATGCAACAAGAGAATCTTTAAAATAAGAAAAATAAAGATGATCTGGCTGTATTATATATTATATTTTTTTACTTATTACACTTTCAATGATAAATTAATAGATAAAATATTTTATGAAAGAGTGGGCCCCACTTGTCCACTTCCAAGGTGACTTCAGCGCCGTTTCAAGTGCAGTTTTGTTTTCTTTTTTCCATTTTATTTTCACATAAACTTTCAATAAAACAAATACCTAAAGCCACAGGAGCCACAAATGCATACTTTCACAATTCAAATTTTCACTTTCATGCAAACAAACACCCCTTAAGGTAAAAAATGGCACATTGTAGATAGTGATGGTAGGAAGATGGAAGACAATTGGATTTTAGGATTTGGGTTTGTAAATGGGTATACAAATAAGTTATAACAAGTTTGGAGTATTTCGTGGGCTAAAATATTATAAAACCCCCCTTAACTTTCAAATATTGGAAAAACCCCTTAGGTTTAGAGGTTATTGGAAAACCCCATGTAACTTTGAGATTTTATCAGCAAACCTCCTAAATTAAGGGGGTTTCAGATAAAATCTTAAAAGGCCGTTTTCTAATAAAATCTGAAAGTTAAAGAGGGTTTTGTGATAATTGCTACATTTAAAAAAGGGGGGGGGGGTTAAGATATTTTGAAAGTTAAGGGGGTTTCCCAATAATCATCCACAGTTAAGGGGGTTTTCTGATATTTACCCTATTCCGTGTTTGTCCCTTTGTGTACATGCATGGTTATGGCTGGCTTGTGTACATGGATGCTTATGGCTGCGTTTCGCTGACCTACCTAACAACAAACACTATGATCTGAACCCGTCTTATGGAGGGATCACTTTGTTGCACCCTCTTGGGACTCATGATCAAAGATCTTTATGTAGGAGTCGGTGATGCCTGCTAAGTTTTCTTTGTTAGTAAATTTGAAATTTTGCAGTTGTAGCTGTATTCACAATTATTTGTTTATTAGGGATCTTGAATTCTTTCATTTTATTATTATTATTATTATTATTTTACTATTTTTTTTTGCAATGTTTTGTGGCCCTGACCTATTAAATTAAGGTGATCTTTGATGCTTATTTCCTTTTTAATCATTTAAACGTTTTCTGTACTTATTAGGCATATAGAGAAATTATCTCACAAATGTAACCCCAGTTCTGGTTATATTTAATTATTTTGTGCTCTTAAGTTCCCAACAGAAGCTAGCTGCTATAGATAATTTTCATTTGCTTTCCTCTTGAGGATCTTTCTCTTTTGCAGGGAATGAGCCTGCTTGAGTTGGAAGACGAGGTCCATGATGACCTAAAACGTGCGACAGGAGAGTTCACCAAGGATGGAGATGATGCTAATAAGTTAAACCGTATTCTTCAATTGACAGGATTTAGTGATCCTGTTTATGCTGAGGCCTATGTTACTGTCCATCATTATGACATTGTCCTTGATGTTACAATCATCAACCGAACTAAGGAGACACTCCAAAATCTTTGTCTGGAGCTGGCAACCATGGGAGACCTTAAACTTGTGGAGCGTCCACAGAACTATACGCTAGCACCAGAGTCTAGCAAGCAGATTCGAGCCAATATTAAGGTTTCTTCGACGGAAACTGGTGTTATATTTGGAAACATTGTTTATGAGACTTCAAATGTTCATGAGAGAACAGTCATTGTACTCAATGATATACACATTGACATCATGGATTACATTTCTCCTGCCACTTGCACCGACGGAGTATTTAGAAGTATGTGGGCAGAATTTGAGTGGGAAAACAAGGTACGTTTACTCATAATTGCTGTAGTTTTTAAACTTATTTGCAATAATATATGCAGGAAGTTTATAATCTCTTGATGGAGTGGATGAAAAGAGATTATATGTTATAATTTTGCAGTACACTGACTCGTTATTTACCTGTCATTGCAATAATTAAATTCCCAAATTCTCCATCCTGACTCATTTGCATGATATTATAAAATACTTTTTTATAAATCATGTGTGAAGTGTAATCCTAATCAACTCAGGACTAGTTAGGGAGCTGAACTTGGATCCTGATACAAAGATACATGCTGCCAGTTGTACTTTATTATTCTATGTAGTGAAATAATCTCTTACATTGTGCAATCAAAATATGACGAGTTAGAACGTTAATAATGCCATGGCCCAGGCCTGCGAGCTTGTTGGCGCATTGCAAGGAATGGGACCCACTAAATGTAGCACGTTGTTTGGCTCAAACCACTACCAAAATCTAGTAGCCGATGTTACACTTGAACCCCATTACTTACATTATAAAGCCCTAAATTTCTCACACTCCCGCCGATGTGGGACTATCTTGGTGGGGTATTACAAATAAGATGCATAAGCTGAAAAGGGGAAAAAAGAGAATTTTTCATGTAGTTTATAACTTCAAAGTGGGGAGAAAAGTTTGTGCATGTCATGATCGACATAATAGATATTTATTGTTAGACCGTTTCAAGTGTTTGTGGTTGGAACTTCTAATCTGTGTTCTTCAACTCTTCTTATGAGTGGACATCTGATGTCCCAAGCCTTTTGCTATCTTTTATGTTAACTAGTTATGAAGGTTAACAAGGTTGACCCCCTCTTTTAAAGACCTTCATTAGTCTAATCTTCTGCTCACTTATAGCATATTTGCTGTTCCTTAGTTTTGATATTCCTTGTTCAACTCCTGCACCTATGATTTATTCTTGTCCTCCTTGCACTGTTGTACATGATATCATGTAATATGACGTGCTTAATGTTACCCTGCGTCTATCATTCATCATTTATTGTCAGATGAATACATAACTATATATTCCTTTGGCAATTAGGTTTAAATCCATCAAAGATTGAAGATCCAAATATGTTGTCAGACTGGAATTTTGTGTTTGACTATTGTTATCTCGACTTGATTCACCTGTATGATGGTATTTTGCCTTGTTTAGGCTAAAATCTGAGTGATGTATATTTTCGTCACCTCTATTTGCTTCTGTATTCAGCACCAGTGTAAACAGAGAAATAGATTAACATGCGTGAGCATAGTTGCATATATCAAAATATGTAGGTGTATAAGAGCATAACAGTTCCCAATTGGAAAACCATCTTTTCTTTCTTGCTGTTGGATATCATGTGCCGCTGTTACTCCTTTGTTTTATGTTAGTATAGTCTTTGATGCCATTTTTTGTAATATGCCATTTTTGTTTGAGGAGGAATTGATCATATCATGGTGTATATTTCAGGTGGCAGTAAATACTATAATTCAGGATGAGAAGGAATTCTTGAACCACATCATCAAGTCCACAAACATGAAGTGTCTCACAGCTCCGTAAGTATTCTCAACCCCTGGCTCTTATTGTTTAAGGTAGCCTATTTTCAATCATTATAAATTTTTTCAATTCCATTGCAAGGTACTCAAATTATTCAAATAAAGAACTGAAATTCTCGAAATTTGCTCGAGTTTCCTTCTAGTTAACTGCTGCTTTTAAATTACTCTCCCATGATAAATTTTGCAATCTTGCACATGATTAACTTACAAATACCAAAACTCATGATGACATGGCTATCTTTTGCTGGTCATGACGATGCTATCTTTTGCCGTGGGGATGACTGCTGTCATCTATAATATCTTTTTTTATATAATAGTTAGTTCCTTATTAAAAGGAGGATTGACTGTAAATACACCCCATAAAGTATAGTAGTGTAGCCACTTATGCCCCTCTAGACTATTTTATTAGTATTTACACCCCTGAATCATATACTATGTTACTTTTTGCGCTCAAGTTAGATACTTAGATGGCTATTTAGTACTTTTTTCCCATGTTAAACTGGGAACGAAGGATTCCCACATGACATCTCATCTGGAGTTTAGGGTCCCACATGACATCTCAACCAACCAAATGAGAGAAGTAATGGCGTATGGAGCTTAGACGGTGTAAGTGCTATAACATAGTTTAGGCGGTATAGTCTGATCGTTTACGGATGTATTTGCAAATAACGCTTAAAAGAACTATGATCGCCCTAAATTTACGTACTTAAATTCCAACTTTTCCTGCAAACACTCTCGTTTAGTTTACTATGCAAATTATTCCTAAACACTAAACTTTTGATTATTTGAATTGTGGGCACTTGTCCTTTGGACTTTGTGTATTCCCCTTAAAACAATTATCTTCTACAGCTCTGCCCTGGATGGAGACTGTGGGTTTCTCGCAGCTAATCTGTATGCAAAGAGTGTGTTTGGCGAGGACGCTCTAGTGAATGTGAGCATCGAGAAGCAGATCGATGGAAAGCTCAGCGGTTATATCAGAATTAGGAGCAAGACTCAAGGGATAGCCCTCAGCTTAGGAGACAAGATCACCCTCAAACAGAAAGGGGGCAGTTAAAGAGTACAGATGAACCTTTCCATTTTCTTAGTGTTTACTTCTCTGCTCTAGTTTGTTATCTCATATTTTTGCCGGCATTCTGTTATTGAAAGTGGAACTGATTATTTGTTAATTATTTGTTATTTAGGTTTCGAATGCGTAGTCGATCCAGATTATATGTTTGTGACGTTGAGGTCTCGTCTTTATTTAAGGCTGTGTTTGAATTGCGAAATTCATGTTAATGACATCTATGTTGTGTGAATGTAAAGGTTTTAGTGGGTTTTTTCCCCGCGACTGAAAGCAATCCCTAGCCTACCACCCCATTTACTATTTTCCTCCCTTCATCTTTTGGTGATTTTTGAGGGATGTAGCTTTTATGCTAAAAAAGAATACAAAAGAGCGGGTGTTATTACGGTGGGATGGATGATATGAGGTTGACGTGAATGGCAAGTTTGGATGTGAATACCGTCAATATATACCTTTAGTTGCAGTAAACCCCCTCAACTCATTTACTAGCACTCAGCGTTTCTCAAATGTCATCTTTAGAAGGATAAATTGCAAATAAAGCACCTCCTCGTTTTGAATTGACAGGGCTATGCCTTAGTAAATGCGTCAAGGTTTAGATGAGTGGGATTTATGTTCATGCAGGGTGCGAAGAAAAGAATAAGGATCCGTCCCCAAGCAGGAATTAACTGAGATGACTCTGGGTTCTTTTGTAAAAGTTTTGAAAATATTCATTGAAGTATCATCAGTCCATAGTAGCCCAGGACAGAAAACATTTCAAAATTTTCTATTTTTTTAAACCATTATTTGGATTGAATTTGAATCCTTAAATCATCAGAGGTTCACGGACAAAGATTGTGAAATACAGCTTGTATCCACCTTTGATTGTTTTCAATGTGGTACATAATTTATTTCTAGCTTTGATGCACTAAATAGATTAATTTCTTTTTTCTTTGGGAAAATTGTGTCGAGGCCCCAAAATTAGGGACTTCATGTGAACAGCCCTCTTGTATTTTGGTGCATGTGATTCAGCCCCAAAAAGTATCATTTAATATTTCAAGTCCCCCCACGTCAGCAGTACAAAAAAAGACATTATATTTATAAAAAAAACCGAAATTGTGCCCCTATCTTCCCCAGATGCATGGTCCCCAAAAACATGAAAAGTCGCGTCCATTAATGCGATCTGACGGAAAAAATGAAGGAAAATTTCCCGCCTTTTTGTAAACTCTATCATGAGCAATAACCTCTTATGTTAATTCTAACCCGTGCATGTTAGTTCTAACTCACCGCTTGTTAGTTCTAGTTCTAATTCATATTAGTTCTAGGCTCTTGGGCTCTTATGTTAGTTCTAACCTGCGGCATGTTAGTTCTAACTCACCGCTTTTTAGTTCTAGTTCTAATCCATATTAGTTCTAGGCTCTTGGGCTCTTATGTTAGTTCTAACCCACAGTATGTTAATTCTAACTCACCGCTTGTTAGTTCTAGTTCTAATTCATGTTACCTTTAGGCTCTTATGCCAGTTCTAACCCACGACATGTTAGTTCTAACTCACGACATGTTAGTTCTAACAACCGCTTATTAGTTCTAGTTCTAATTCATATTAATTTTAGGCTCTTGGGCTCTTATGTTAGTTCTAACACATGACATGTTAGTTCTAACTCACGACAAGTTAGTTTTAACTCACTGCACGTTAGTTCTAGTTCTAATTCATGTTAGTTCTAGGCTTTTGGGCTCTTATGTTAGTTCTAACCCACAACATGTTAGTTCTAACTCACTGCACGTTAGTTCTAATTCATGTTAGTTCTACGTTCTTGGGCTCTTATATTAGTTTTAACACACGGCATGTTAGTTCTAACTCACCACTTGTTAGTTCTAGTTCTAATTTATGTTAGTTCCAGGCTCTTGGGCTCTTATGTTAGTTCTAACCCACGACATGTTAGTTCTAACTCATCGCTTGTTAGTTCTAGTTCTAATTCATGTTGATTCTAGGTTCTTGGACTCTTATGTTAGTTCTAACCCACGACATGTTAGTTCTAACCCACGACATGTTAGTTCTAACTCACGACAAGTTAGTTTTAACTCACCGCACGTTAGTTCTAGTTATAGTTCATGTTAGTTCTAGACTTTTGGGCTCTTATGTTTGTTCTAACCCACAGCATGTTAGTTCTAACTCACTGCATTTTAGTTCTAATTCATGTTAGATCTAGGCTCTTGTGCTCTTATGTTAGTTCTAACTCACGGCATGTTAGTTCTAACTCACCGCACGTTAGTTCTAGTTCTAATTCATGTTAGTTCAAGGCTCTTGGGCTTTTATGTTAGTTCTAACCCACGACATGTTAGTTTTAATCCACGACATGTTAGTTCTAACTCACCGCTTGTTAGTTCTAGTTCTAATTCATGTTTGTTCTAGGTTCTTGGGCTCTTATGTTAGTTCTAACCCACGTCATGTTAGTTCTAACTCACAACATGTTAGTTCTAACCCACGGCATGTTAGTTCTAACTCACGGCATGTTAGTTCTAACTCACCGCATGTTAGTTCTAGTTCTAATTCATGTTAGTTCTAGGCTCTTGGTCTCTTATGTTAGTTCTAACCCACGACACGTTAGTTCTAACCCACAGCATGTTAGTTCTAACTCACCGCTTGTTAGTTCTAGTTCTAATTCATGTTAGTTCTAGACCCTTGGGCTCTTATGTTAGTTATAATCCACGGCATGTTAGTTCTAACTCACCGTACGTTAATTCTAGTTCTAATTCATGTTAGTTCTAGGCTCTTGGGCTATTATGTTAGTTCTAACTCACGACATGTTAGAACTAACATGATATCCATTAGAACTTATACTAAATCCACTAGAACTAACACAGATATTAGAACTAACATGATATCCATTAGAACTTATACGAAATCCACTAGAACTAACACGGATATTAGAACTAACATGATATCCCTTAGAACTAATACGAAAATAATTTCTTCTTTTTTAAATATAATAATATTATACATAGCATAATTTTTGACCGAGGAATTTATGCACCTAGGAATAATTGTTAGAACCAGCGTCAACTTAACACATTCTAAATTTTTCACATTTTTCCATCCAAACATCTCCCATAATTTTTACATACAGACTAATAAAACTAAAACAAAAAACATCCAAAAACCCCCAAACCCCCAATTATTTCTAGCCCTTGCCGTTCTTCTTTTCCGATCTCGCCATTCTATTGTTTGCCTTTGCATTTCTATAAGGGTTTGAGTGACTTCCTACGCGCGGCCAACCGCAGATGGACCGTCTTTATCCTTCAGCTCGCCGTAATGAACGAATTCGTAGTCGTTAACGGATTCTGCTTCCCTGGACGATATTTTTCTGGCGAAAAACTTAGCATTATTGAAATCCGACGAGAAAATTGAAAATTCGAGAGTTTCGAAGGCTCCTAAGCGGTGGAAGAGAGAGAGAGAGAGAGAGAGAGAGAGAGAGAGAGAGAGAGAGAGAGAGTACTTGAATAGGGAGGGGGCGCAATAACCGAGTTCAATCTCATCAAATGAGCAAGTTCGTAACTTCCACTAGGTTTTTTTTGAAAACCGATACTTTGGGACCTCGTCACAAATACTGTGTGTATTTGGGGTTTATCCACATGAAGCAGAATACAAGAGGTCTCATCACATGAAATTTCCGCTTTTGAGACCCGGACACATTCCCCCCTTTTTCTTTTATTTGAAGAATCAGACTACATACGAGTTTTTATAAACGTTCGTATTTCCTATTCTGAGGAACATATCATTATATTTCTAACGAAATGTTGTGGGCTCAGACCTTACCATTTTTCTTAAAGAAGAAAACGACACAGCATTGCTTAGTTCGAACTAGAAGCGTCTAATTTTTTTTAAACGTAATACTCTCCTTGTAGGAGAATAGATAGAAAACCTATTACATAAGCATTTTGATTCTCCAAATCAATATATCAGTTATTTCTACATGAAATTGACCGAAAATTGTAATATAATTCTTTTTTAAATAAATTTTAATGGAAAAAGGAACTTGCACTTCCAGAACTGTTTGATATCCAAAACTAAGAAACTATTACTGTAATTACAAATTGCAAAAAGCAGTTGCACTTCGGAACATGAACCGCCTTTTGCAAATATGATTTATAACAAGTATCATGGACGCAATCCATCAGCTAGTTTCTCTAATTTGAGATGCCAAAACATCAAAGAAACATCATACACAGTACACAATAAAGTCCAGAAATGTAACGAACTCTACAAATATACATCGATCAGGTTAAACAGAGACTTTGGCACCATAACATGGAACTACAAAAACTATACAAACATTTACAATAGCCCTTGCCCAAATATACAGACCACACTTCCCTGAATTCTTAAGCTAAACTAGAAGCAACAGAAATCGTAGGCACACTTAAATCGATCAATCAGCCAGAGTTATGACTCTTTAACTGAAAGAATGATCAAAGCTATGAGAAGCAGCAGCAAGGACCACAGTACCATAAGTTACTTGACATAAGAATCGTAGGCATCAAAGACAGAATTGGGAATTATAAGAGGGAGCTTATCTATATACATGAAGAGGCACCTCAGGTTTTCTCTCGACACGGTTGACATATCTACAATGTCTCTGTTGTCTGTAAACATCCATAAGTCGCCAGAGTTTACTCTCTTGAGGCTATCACGACAGAATGGACATGACTGTGATCTTGAGTGCCTGTAATAACAAATTCGGTAATAAAGTTTAGTTTGTAACAGGCCATCGACCATAATTAAAAGTAAACGCATCAGTAACAAACTCTCCAATGCGAGAGCTGAAGGCATGTGATTTTGAGCAACATGGTGAAAGACCAATATTCAGTAATAACTAATACGATTATTTACGAATCACGAATTGTACGGGAGTGCATTAACGAGAGTAATTGCAAATATATAGTGTACTATAAGCAGTTAAGCACTTATCCTACTTAGTAACTTAAAAGTCTTTATTTATCAGCACTTAGACCACTGATAGCCAAATGGAGCTCTCTGTTGGCTATATTTATCAATGCATTGCAGAAAGGTCTCTTTAAATTTACGTGTGCTGCAGAGAGACCACCCCATTCCCCGTCACACAACCTACATTACAAGTGCAAATAATGGAAAGATACTGTGTTTGGACCCAGGGTCCTAAGTATTAATAAAAATGTTTGGGGAAGAAAGTGGCTAACCCCTGAGTTCAGAGGATGTATTTGTAATTAAACCTAAACAAGAACTTTTAGTCAATATGTACCAGTAACAAGAAAAGGCATGCCTTCTAAGAATAAGAGATGAGCTTTGTGACAAATTGGGTGTCGTAACTAGATTATAAGCAGTGTACGCCATGTAAAATCAATGAGAATAAACAAGCGTCCAAATTTTTGGGACATACTCCGAGGTGGTCTTTTGCATTGGGGAATGGTGCGGGCAGATTTTTCATTGTGTTACTTAGCTAGGTTGAAATTGAGCCACTGATTTGCTGATGCTAGAAAATGATCTTGGTCGCTTCTCTCTACCCGGATGCTAGAGATAAGTTATAAAATGGCAATTTTCATCTTAATTTGTTCTTCATATTGGTTTAAAATATTACTTTATATGAAAATTAAAGTTCTTATGAGACAGTTGCTTCATTACATAATCAATTACATTACATATACATATATGATACTGAATTTTCCAGTATTCTCGAAAAATGATCACTTTTTTCCAGTTTCAGGTTTTTGGAACTTTAAACAACCTCCACAAGTATTAATTATCCAATTCCAAACAACTCTGCTAACTGGATACGCAGGACACAAGCAATTAAATGCTATTGCATTGCCCGACTCACACAACGCATAGGCAGCCCACTTCACAAGCAATCAAAAAAGTTTAGGAAAAAAAAACAAGAAGATATAAGAAGTTTTATCTGGTGAACAGATACACACCATTCACGATAGCATTTCATGCACATGGCATGGCTGCAGTTGGGTAGCACAACCTTGCTGTTCACTTCCATGCAGATCCCGCATTCTTCTTCACTCTCATCATCTACATCGGATGGTAGCCTCATATCACCACCGTCCCTCCTTCTGTACCTTTCCATGCACACTGCTTTTTGTTTTTTATCTTCCGTATCAGTTATCCCCTTGTGCAGTTGCATCAGGGAGGGGAAAATGACAGCTGACGTTAACATTATGATCAACAATGTGAATTTAAGAGTTTAAAAATTAAATTAAGTTCTTAAGACGAATGCGAGCCGAGTGATTTACCATAAAACTCCTTGATGCTCGCTTTTCTTTCATAGATTGACATGGTCGTTCTTCCGTCGACATAAACCTGCAGATGAAAAGTCCTCAGCCTGCAATACGTTAGGAATCTGGTGCTCGATACAAAAGAGGACAAATCCTCGGGTTAGGGAGATACCAACCTTATACATTAAGATCCTCATCAAACCCAGAGCCCCCGCGAGGCTACAGTCTGTCCACTGGACCAGAAACAGAAAGATTTGGGCAGCTGGGCTGTATGATATACGCATTTGAAGACAAGCACCGTCATATTCCCGCGGGAAATCCGAAGCCCTGCACATCAAAATTAAGGGTCGGCAACAGTGAGACGCTTCACGCTACCAACAAAAAAAAAAACCAATCTCGTTTCGGTAAAAAATTGAAACTTCGCACGGATCAAGAGTAAATCCTTCAGAAATCGTCACTCCAGTGCACAGAAATTCCAAGTAAAAAAAAAAGCAAGAAAAATCCACATCAACTCCAACACTCACAGGGTATTAGCGTGCTGGATATCGGCTTCCAGAGCTTTGAGCGAATCCTTGAACGACCTCCTCATCCTTGGCGAAAGCAGCGTAACCAATGAAATTTCATCCAAAATTTCCCCAATTCAAAACCCCGAGTCCCCTTCTCCCAAAACCCTAATTCCTCTCTCCTCTCTCTCTCTCTTCTCTCTCTCTCTCTCTCTTCGTTGCCTTGAAGAAGAGGGGGAAAAGGACATGACGGCCGCGTGTGGGTTAAAATTCTGAAATGGTAGTTCCACCGGATCGAAACGGACCCAGGTTCACATGGCTTTTTGTGGTTGGGTGCAATTTCGGGTGTCTACGGAGCAAAAAGAGTGTTGCTATGGGGACCTAAAATAAGGGACATGTGAGTTGTCCTTCTCTATTGCATAATGAGTTGAGATGAGTTGGCATGAGCAACTCATTATGCAATAGGGAGGGGACACCTCACATATCCCCTACATTAGTCCCATATTTTGGGTCCTTAAAATGGACGTGTCGGAGTTTGGCGGGGCCCACCTTATCCAGCATCTAGTGTAAATATCTGAGTACTTTATTTATTTATTTATTTTTATAAATAGTCCCTGGATGAGGATGGAAATATGTCCGTAGGGGGATGTACTTGACATTGCGGACTAACGTAATAAAGTTCACTTTTGTGGGGGCGGCCAGCCGCTGTTTATACTTTTTATAGAGGGAGGTATTCCGTCAGGTTAGCTGCTGAGAATTAACAGTCGTATCACGTTCAGAGCGATAAACTCATTTTCTAGATGAACAAATTTTCAAAACAGCCCCAAATGATTTTTTATTTTTCAAAATCGACCTATTTTTTTTTTTTATTAAAATCGACCCGGTCTTTGCCACGTGGGCTTAATGACGTTCCTAAACAGTCGGGGTTGGCAACCCCGACTGTTTAGGAGGGTGTTAAACCCCAATTAATATCCTTAAACCCAAAATTTGCATGTCCTAAACAGTCGGGATTGCCAACCCCGACTGTTTAGGAACGTCATTAAGCCCACGTGGTAAAAACCGGGTCGATTTTGGTAAATAAAAAAAAACGGGTCGATTTTGAAAAATAAAAATCTTTTTGGGGCTATTTTGAAAATTTGTTCTTTTCTAGGTCTGTTATTCGAGGTAAAATGTTATTTCAATTCCCATGCTTCATAGTACGTCATAACATATCTGGCTAAAACTATGGAAATCAATCATTAGGGGGTTTTGCTTTGAAATACCTTCATTTGTTTTTAAACCCACCGCGTTTTAAAATGTACTCTTAAACCCAAAATCTCTAAATGAGTTAAATCTTTAAAATCCAAGCAGTACCGTATTGAATACGTAAAATCCACTATTGAAACTGGAACGCCAGCCCTGTTCCTATCCTCCTCCTCACCATTTCTCAGCTTTCGACTCCACTGACACCAGCATCGCCATGGCCTCATCGGCATTGTTGGCAGCGGCCCGAGTCGACTGGATTTGGGATCCATTTTCTATTGCATTTGATAGGCTGGTTGAGGACTAATCTATGACCAGCCTAATCCAATTTAGTTTACGGACCGGAAGGTTGGAATGTTCATGTTTCCATTATTGCCAAAAAAAATTGGCCGAACAATCCTCGTTAAGTTCTCGCGGAGTTGTTTGCCGAACTAAGATTAATTAATCTCGATTATGGTTCAACTTAACTTGGTTCACTTTTGCCGAACTAGGCATGTTTGGCAACTGATCACTTTTGTGGCTTATAAACCCCCGTAACATGTTTGTCAACCGGCTTATTTTGAATTATAAGCAAAAAAAAAAAGTTGCCCTAACTCGGCTTATTTTTTTTTAGTGGCTTATAAACCATATAGCTTGACCAAGGAAATATTAGGTTTACCCCTCAACATTTGAAATAATCCTAAAGTCTATTCAATGTTTAAATTTAAAGCTATGTTTTTTTTTAAAAGATCATGTTGACAACAATGATGGATTACAAACCACCCGTTTATCAAACACTCTCCTATCGATAGAGACTTATAATCCAATTTTTTCACTAAACCTTTTGGCTTAAAAAATCCACTAGTGGTAGCAAAACAACTTGCAAGACTAATAGTTGCGTGTAGCAAAACAACCTGCCGAGCAACTTGCCAAGACTACTAGTGGTAGCAAAACAAACAGTTGCGTGTAGCTGGCACTGCAAAATATAATTGAGCTACAGTCGAAATGTAGCTGCCATGACAATGGAAATTTAACAATTTCTCTCCTGCTCTACATATTGCATTTAGTGCACTTGCTGAAAGCAAAAAAAACAACACCACCATCCATTATCAACTAGATTATAGAATAAGAACTCACCAATATTTTAAGGAACAAACCATGGAATCAGACATGAGTAGTTTGAAAACTATATGTAAAAAAGAATTGGAATTTTCTTATTACCTATACCACCAAAATTCCTGTTTGATACAACACTTCAACTCTCACATTGCAGGTCTCCACTTACATTGAGTGTTTGGTGCATACATACCCCTTGAATCATGGGTATTTGTAAAAAAAAATAACATGAAATATCAGTATTTGCAAAACCACCCACATCCTCAGCATTGCAAAACTATCTCCAAATCATCAACTTGATGGGGGTGTGTGTGTGGTGTGTGGGGTGGGGGTGGGGGGGGATCCATGCAATTTTGATATGTTAATTTTTAATTGCAATGTAAAAATATCGACTAAATAGTCAAAATTTTACTCACTATATCTAAAAATGTTGCAGCAGGGGGCTACACAGACACAAATTATGTCCACACAAAGTGAATAATAACATAGTACTATGTCATCACAATGGAGACAGAAAACAACACACAATGATTTAACATAGTTCGGTCACTATGACCTACGTACGCGGGCAAGAATAACAGAGAAATTCACTAATCACAAAAGAAAAAAAATTACAAAAGGAGACTACTCTAATATCTCCCCAAACTCACACAAAAAAGAGAACACTGAAGAATTTTTTTTTTCTCTTTTCTCTTTGACTCTCTCTCTCTCTCTTTCTTCTCTCTGTCCCGAATGCATTTAACTCTCAACTTCATAGGTATTTATATTTTCACATATACAAGGGGATTGGTGAAGTAGTGAAAAGGGTTGGTGAAATAGTAAAAGGGGTTAGTGAAATAGTGAGGAGTTTGGTGGGTCAAATACATGATTCAAAGTGACATTTAACAAATCTTACCTTGAGTTTGAATATGAAGATCTTCTCTTCGTTCTTGTTGTCTCGCCGGAAGCTCCTTACAGGCTTAACCTCCGCTTTTTTAAACTCCAAACAATTCGAGACACTGCTCGAACTTGCGCGAATGTATGTACTTCATCATCATCTCTGCTAGATTATCTGCGGCACCAATTTTGTTAATCTTAATGACTTTAATTTCTCTGATAAAATATATTTGATATATGACGCTTCGTCAAATGTATAGCACTCTGGCTGTCACAAAATACCGTAGTAACACATTGGCGTAAACCAAGATTTTCAACCAAACCTCTCAACCAAATGGCTTCTTTCACTACTTCTATCACTACCATATACTCTGCCTCTATGGCAGACAAAATAATTATCAACTGTAGAGTCACCTTCCACCTAATGACATTACCTGAAAGAGTGAATACATAATCTGTCAGGGATCACCCGCATAATCTGAATCTGAATTTGTGTTTTTGTCAATATATAATCTAATATTAGCAGATCCTCTCAAATATCTAAGTACCAAAGTCACAGCCTACCAATGGACATTTCTAGGCTTATCCATATACCGACTCACAACACTGACTACATGTGAAATATCTCAATGGGTGCATACAATAGCATACATAATGCTTCCTACTACACTGGCATAAGGAACACAAAACATGTACTGCTCCTCTTTAGTCTGAGACGATAGATCTGCTGAAAAACGAAAATGAGCAGCAAACGGAGCCTTCACAGGCTTGGCATCAAGCATGCCAAATCTCTCTAACACCTTCTTGATATATTTCTCCTGGGATAAAAATAAACTTCCTTTTCGTCTGCTCCCGTGGATCTCTATCCCTAAAATATTCTTCGTTGCTTTCAAGTCTTTCATCTCAAACTCGTGCTTAAGTTGAGATTTTAACTTGTTGATTTCTGACATGTCTTTAGCTACAATCAACATGTCGTCAACATACGAAAGCAAATATACGAAGGAACTATCATTAAGCCTTTTATGATAAACACGACTATCATATTTACTCCTAGAGTAACCATGCTCAAACATGAAAGTATCAAACTCAAATACCACTGCCTTAGAGACTGTTTCAACCAATAAGGAGATTTCTTTAACTTGCACACATTATTTTCTTTACCTTCAACAACGAACCCTTTTGGCTATGCATAAAATCCTGCTCCTCAAACTCACCATGTAGAAAGACCATCTTCATATCAAGTTGTTCAAGTTCCAAATTAAAATAAGTAACTATGGCAAGCAACAAACTGATTGAAATGCGTTTTACAACTGAAGAGAATACTTCATTGAAGTCTGCGCCTTCCGTCTGACTATAGCCTTTAGCTACCAAACGTGCATTGTATCTTATAGAATCTGTATCGGGAATTCCTTCTTTCTTCTTGAAGACCCATTTGCGGCCAACGATTTTCTGTCCCCTTAGTGGCTTCACTAACTCTCATGTCTGGTTCTTGTGAAGAGATTTCATCTCTTCAGTCATCGCAACAGTCCAATCTGCAGCCTTACTATCATTAATAACCTCCTTGCAGGTAGAAGACTAAGGAATCTCAATCGATTTTGCTAAACTCAAAACGTAAGCAAGTGTGTCGACATAACATTGAGGTGGTCGGATTTACCTTTTTGTTCTCCCGGTGACAACATTATATTGTTGCTCTTGCGGTGTATCAGTATCTAAAGTTAAAACTTTCCACCATCAAGTGTTCAACATGAGCGCCCTCAAGCACTCCCTTTGAAGCAGAGTTGTCTAGCTTTACCTGCTTGCTAGACTTCTTTTCAGTGCATGTAATATCAACAACAAGCTCCTTTCTTGGGTGAAACATGAATTTCTTATCAAAAGTAACATCCCTACTAATAATAAACTTATGTGATTTTAAATCAGAATACCACAATCTATATCCCTTCACCCCAGTAGCACTTCCTATAAAGATATCTTTCTTTGCTCTTGGTTCAAGCTTAACATCATTAACATAAAAATAAAAAGAGCAACCAAATACTTTTAAATGAGAGTAATTAGCAGGGACACCTGACCATACCTCTTCTAGAGTCTTAAAATCAATTAATGTAGAAGAAGATCTGTTTATCGAATAGCAAGCTGTATTGACTGTCTCGGCCCAAAAGTCCTTTAACAAACCGACATTAGAGAGCATGCATCGAGCTCTCTCTCTAAAAGTGTTATGTTCATCATTTCTGTAACTCTATTTTGTTGTGGTGTATACCGAACTATACGATGGCGCACAATACATTCATTCTTGCAGAACTGGTCAAACTCCGTGGAACAAAGTTCCATCCCATTGTCAGTTCTGAAGCGCTTCACTTTCTTTCCCGTTTGCTTCTCAATTATAACATTCAATTGCTTGAAGGTTACAAACACATCACTTTAATGCTTCAAAGAATATACCCAACTTTTTCTGAAATAATCATCAATCACTGTTAGTAGAAAACGAGTTCCACCTTTTAATGGAACCTGAGAGGGGCCCCAAACATCTGAATGGATATAATCTAAAGCACCCTTAGTTTTGTGAACACTGGTAATCTATGGTGTTTGTTGAAAACACAATGCTTACAAAAGTTTAGATTGCTAGTTTTCTGACAACAAAGCAGACATTGTATGCTGAATATATCTAGTCCTCTCTCACTCATATGCCCTAACCGCATATGTCACACACGTGTAGTGTCAATATCTGAATCATGTGAAGATGACACTGCTGCAGCACCTGTTACTGCACTGCCTTCAAGGATATAGATCGTATTTACCTTCTTTCCATTCATCACAACAAGAGAGCCTTTACTAACTCTCAAAACTCCACCTTCAGTCGAAAACTTAAAACCATTTGAGTCAATAGTGCCTAAAGAAATGAAGTTCTTCTTTAACTCTGGTATATGCCGAACATTGCTCAGTGTTCTAAAAATATCATCATGTGTTTTAATTTTAATTTATTTATACCAATAGTCTTGTAAGGCACGTTATTTCCTAACAAGACATTCTCATCATCAATAGACTGCTATGTGACAAACCAATTCCTATGCGAACACATACGATAGGAACAACCCGAATCAAGAACCCACTCATCTTATGAATGAGTATTAACACTAACTGAAATAACTTCATGTAAACTAAAAGACTCTTCAATTACAGTGGCAACTGAAGGTTTTACCTCCTAAGACTTCGATTGAGAATTATCATTTGCTTTAACCGCTAGACAATTAGGTTTTATATGCCCAAACTTATAACAGTAATAATACTCAATATTTTTTCTTGACATTAACTTTGACCTACACATATCAGATTTTTTCTGTACTACCAAACTCCTCACTATTTCACCAACCCCTCTCATAATTTCACCAATCATTTTCACTATTTCACCAACTACCTTATATATGCGAAGCTATAAATATCTATGAAGATGAAAGTTAAATGCATTCGAGACAGAGAGAAGAAAAAGAGAGCTAGAGAGAAAAGAAAACAAAAGTTTTCTTTAAGTGTTCTCTTCTTTGTCTGAGTTTAGGGATAGTCTCCTTTTATAATCTTCTATTTTATGATTAGTGAATTTCTCTGCTGTTCTCGCCCGTGGACATAGGTCATACTGACCGAACCACGTTAAATCCTTGTTTGTCGTTCTCTGTCTCCAATGTAATTACATAGTACTGTGTTATTATTCATTTTGTATAGAAATCTTTTGTGTCTATGTAGCCGCCCGCTGCAACAAACTGGTATCAGAGCTCCAGTGTTATTCTTATAGGCTTCAAGATGTCTTCTGCAAAATACGAAGTGGCAAAATGCAACGAGAGCAACAGCTTCAGTTTGTGGAGAGTCAAAATAAGGGCTCTCGTAGTATAACAATTATTATTCAAAGTCATGTACGGGCATGACAAGTTGCCGAAATCCATGCCCGATAATGAGAAAAAAGAGTTGGAGATGAAGATGCATAGTGTCGTACAGCTCTGTTTGGTTGATGAGATCCTGCGAAAAGTTGTTAATGAAGATACCGCCGCATGTGACTCAAGTTAGAGAGCTTGTACATAACGAAATCTTTAACGAATAAACTCTACCTGAAGCAACGCCTTTTCACCCCTCGCATGAAGGAATGTATGCGAATTAAAGACCACTTAAATCAACTTAACACTATTCTTATGGATTTAAAGAATATCAATGTTAAAATTGACGAAGAAGATCAAACTCTTATTTGTTATGTTCATTACATGAGAATTTTGTCAATAGTATGCTTTATGTTCGAGATACATTTTCTTTGGAGGATGTCTAATCAATTTTACATTCAAAAAAATTAAGGCAAAAAGCGTCTATTGTAGAAGGTGAGATCAAGCTGATGGCTTATTCATCTGTGATCATCCTGAAAAGGATGGTGGCGGGGGAGGAAAATCTAGACATGTCTAGGGAATGGTGAAATAATGAAAAGGGTTAGTGAAATAATGGGAGGAGTTGGTGAAATAGTATAGAGTTTGGTGGGTCAAACACATGATTCAAAGTCACATTTAACAACAAAGTTGATGATTTGTTGACTTGGGAGATATTTTTTTCCAAAATTGATGAGTTGGGAAGTAATTTGCAAATACCTGTGATTTAAGCTGTATATACACAAAAAAAGCCTTACATTTATTATCTCTTCCTCTCTATAATATTATACATGTAAGGGACTGCGTCAGGAACCCTGATTAGCATGTGTAGAATAAACACTTGGGGTCTATACACTCTAAAAACTGTCGCCCCTTAAGCCCTCAGCCTTCATACATAAGCTTTAAACTGCTTATTTCTGGATTTTAACTGGACCCATAGAGGTCTATATCTACCACTTGTCATCATAGCTGAGCTCTGAGACACATGAAACCAGAGCTTCTCTTACCTGAAGATTATCTGAATCCACGGAGAGCACATCTTCAAAAAGACTCTTAGCCTGATGCAGAAGTTTCACTTTCTCTCTGTTGTTCCGTGGACGGAGGTAAGATCGCTGCTGCAGCACTGTGCCCCATCGGTATAGAGCTGCAAGTAGGAAATTCATGTTCAACTTTCGAGTCAATAAGATCATGTGACGCTAAATACCAAATATATGCATGCACAGAATAAAGGACAAGAATATTACGAGGTGACATTGTTTTTTACTCTACAGTTTACTTGGACATAATAGATTGTCTAGTCATACCATCTGTTGCATAAAGGTCACTTCTGGACATCATAGCATCAAATTTATCAATTGCCGCCAAATATATCTTGTCAGCATCAGGAGCAGCTTCCTGCAAATGGAAGTTAATGAGAAGTTGCATAATTGAAGTTAAGAACTATCAAAGAAACATGTACATAAGCCATGAATAATATCGAATCTACAAATCTTTGTATGATGGGTGTTTACTTCCCTTTCCAACTTAATCTTGGAGTCAGAATTGAATCTAACATTTTCTCATGTCTGAACAACTAATGTAAGCAAATGGCAGTTTTATGATATAGAAGGCTATTTAACCTTTAATATTCATGATTACATGCACTGTTTCATATTGATTTCATAATTAATCAAAAAAGAATAAGAGGTTTGACTGCGTAAAAGTAATAGGATACACCCATCATAGAATTTAAGATTCAGATTTTATATTATCATATCATAGAACTGGATTACAATTAAGATACAATCGGATATACTAAAACTACATAAGAATCGAAGGGCTGCTTCATATTTCATATTGCCCAAGGGAAAATCATGTCATCATTCACTTTTTTATCATCTCTGAAATATAGAGAATCACCTTATTAGCATAACTTACAAGGTCAACTTCTCAATACTAATATTCGCAAGTTTATATTTCTGGTTCCTCCATGCTCGAAGGCTACCCAACTACCATCTTCAGCTTAGTCTCACATAATATTGGAAGTAAACTCCAATTGCATACCACAAACTTCTGAATGTAGTCATGAATGACACTGCTCCTTTACTCTGTTAACTTGCCATACATGTATACACATAATTATGGACATTTGGACTGCTCACAATTGTTTTTCACTAAGCAGATGAAAAAGTGGATCATGTAGCAGATTGCTCATAAAGTGTCCTGCTCATAAAGTGTCCTAGATATAGTCAGTCTCTCTCTCATACACATAATTATGGACATTTGGGCTGATCACAATTGTTTTTCACTAAGCAGATGAAAAAGTGGATCATGTAGCAGATTGCTGATAAAGTGTCCTGCTCATAAAGTGTCCTAGATATAGTCAGTCTCTCTCTCATAAAGTGTCCTAGATATAGTCAGTCTCTCTCTCATAAAGTGTCCTAGATATAGTCTCTCTCTCTCTCTCTCTCTCTCTCTCTTGTTGGCCTTCTTGTTTTGATGATGTTTAACAAACAATTTACCACTAATGTTGTTTGTCTAGTATTTGTGTTTTCCTATGTATTGTAGACAAACAACGTCGTTGGAGGTTGGATGGATTGCGCCATAACGACGATATCAAATGGAGGTTGGCGGAATTGTGGAGTGAAGCAACATGCAATTCATAGTTAAAGATCAAGTTCAAGCTTCATCCGCATGTGTACCAAGTTGAGCTACAATGAAGATCAAGATCAAGCTTGGGTAATCTAGTTTAGATTTTATATTATGTGTGTGAAGTACCTTTAGCTCAATATCATATACACACGTATTTGGTTTCTATGTATATATATAGTTATATATATACATGCATGGTTTTGGGTTTTCATGTTTTGAACACTTTTGCAAAATAATGAGATTTCACAATTGGGAAATGCAAATTGGAAAATTCTTTTTGTAACATGTTCAAAATATCATTTGCAAACATTTCTCAAAGTTTCATCAAGTTTGGAATTGATTTGTTATGTTTAAAGGAATTTACAAATTCACGTTTTCGTTCGTGCACATGTTCGTGCATGTTTTACAAAACTGATGAGTTTTCTCAAATGGGAAGTGATATTTGAAAAATTCTTTCTCTGACATGTTTACCTACATGTTTAGAAACTTCCCTCAAAATTTTACTATTTTTTAAGTTGATTTACTGTGCCTACTTGATTTTACAAAATCGTGTATCTCAGCAGATTTTCAGAAACTGTATTTTTGTGTTCAAACATTTATTTCTCTCAACTGGGAAATGATTTTTTAGAAATATTTTCTCTAACATGTTATTCCACATGTCTAGAACCTTTTCACAAAATTTCATATTTTTTGAAGCTGTTTTACTATTTTTAATTGATTTTATAAAACTGATACGCATTGCTACAGTACCCACGGTCGACCGGTACGGTCGACCGCCAAACTCTCTGGACGTTACTCAGCTTTGCATATGGCTGGACGTCTCCTGCGATTCTGACCTTGTTTCCGGTCGACCGCGATTTTCATCGGTCGACCGCTGGAGTCCCAACGGCTATTTTTAGAGCCGTTGCATGTGGTTTTTTGGTTTTTTTGTAAGGGGTTTTGGTCTGAGGTTTTGAAAGCTATAAAAACCCTCTTTGATCTCAGTTTTCAGTCATCTAAGAAATGTTTTAAAAGAAAAGAAAAGTTTAAGCAAGGGTTTAGGGTTTTACAGTTTGGTTGAGTTTGGGTTTCTGTTTACAAAGGAGGAAGTTTTCACTGCAGATTGAGGGATTCATTCTCAATCCCATTCATCCTCTTCTTGTGTTCTTAGAGAAGTTTTCTAACTCTTTTATCTAGCAATTTCTTTATTGATTTTCATATTCTATTATTACTAGTTTGATATTTGAGTTAGATTTTATTTTACTCATTGTTACACACACCCACATTGAGCTTATAGTATTTACATACATAGTATAGTTGGGTGGTGAGAGATTGTAACTTTGAGTTGTGCTTTCATTGTGTTCTCATCCATAGTAGAGAACAATCACTTATTGTATTTGTGCTTTATTGTGAAATCACTTTGTAAACACTTGTACACTGAGTGAGAAGTGTGTGGTGAGAGTCGGGGATCGTCCCAAGAGGAGTGGCGTCGGTTGACGAGCCTAGGGAGAGGTTGTAACCGAGCACTTGAGGGAGACACGGCTAGGTCCAACACTTAGTGGGTGTAGAGTGTGATTGCAAGAGTGTGAGTTGTAGAGTTTTCGGTTAGCTAGAAAACCGAGTGTATAGAAGAAGTTCCGGCTTCCAAACCGGATTGTGTTAGTGGATTTCTCCCCGGGAGTGGGGAGCGGAGACGTAGGACGGAAGGTCCGAACTCCGTGATCATATTGCTTGTTTGAGTGTGCTTTGGCGTTCATTCATATTTATGTTCATATCTTATATCGCCATTGTCATTAGCTCATTATCTATATCATCCACTATCTTGTTTACATTGTTTACCCTTGTGTTCATATATCCTTGCATATATACATCGCTATCTCTTTGCTAGGATATATCATATTGTATATTGCTTATTCTTGCTTATAACTCTTGTATATCTATCTTGCAAGAATACAACTTGTTAATTAATTTTAATTGGCATTTAATCGGATTAGATTAGCATAAGACCCTAATCACCCCCCCTCTAGGGTCTAACAATTGGTATCAGAGCTTGGTGCTCTTTGATTTAAGGTCTAATCGCCTTGAGTTAAAGATCCAAGTTATCTCTTTGTGCTAATCTTGTTTTGATTATATTTGTATCTTGCTTGCATATTTTTACAAATTATGTATATTATGGATATGCATGGTTTAGGCTATGATTCTAGTATTGCTCCTAAATTCAATGTTTTTCCTTATGCTCAATGGTGTTTTAGATTCAAAATATTTGTTCAATCTAAAAATATCGATTTATGGGAAGTCATTGATTGTGCTTATATTGTGCCCACTTTGGAGAAATCCAAGTGGAGCAAACATGATAAAAGGATGTTTACAATGAACAAGATTTTATTAGAATATTTGCTAAATGCTTTGTTAGAATATTTGCTAAATGCTTTTAATTCATCTATGTCTAACAAGTTTGTTCATTTTGATAGTGCTTATACCTTATGAAAATTTATTGAAGCACATCAAGGGGACTTGGAGGCGATCCGACAAGCTTTGGAGGATCCGGCTTCAAGTTCATATGGAGCATCATGCACACGGCCACTAGGCGATAGCCCTAGTGAGGTTTGCAAGTTTGAAACCACTAATGATTTATCTAGTGATGAAGATTTTAATGATTTAAAAAGCAAGCATGATGTTTTAAAATCCGATCATGAGAAGCTAGTGTCCAAATTTGATGTCATTGAAAATGAAAATACTATGCTTAAAGAAAACAATGACTTATTAAATTTGGAAAATGGAAATTTGATCTCATCTATTGCTAGCCTATCTCATGCTAAGATTGATGCCATGTTAGAAGTAGAGAACATAAAGAATGATACAGCTTCTTTTATAAATAACTATTTATGTTCTACTTCTAAAAATGTATATGTGCCTAAAAATAAAGATTTAAATCTTATGAAAAATAGTATTTCATCTTTAGATTTAACTTTGAAAATATGCATTAATAATCATAAGAGGCTTATGGACATGTGTGCCAAGACTAAGTCAAAATCATCCACTCATTATGCACACATGTATAGCAAAACTTATAAGTGTTCTATTTGCGGCCGTCAAGGTCATTTAGCTAAGTTTTGTTATGATGCACACAAACATAAGAATTCTAATGTTCCTTGTGCATCTCATGTAGCTTCTTCATCTTGTACACTTACACATTCACATGCTCATTCTCACAAAGTTCATTATAAGCATGCTAGTGTGTTCAAGTGTGATCATTGTGGTCGTTTTGGTCATTTGACCAAATATTGTTTTGATTTGAAAAGAAAATCTTATTTGACAAATGCTTCCAATAGACCACATGTTTGTAAATGTGGTGTTTGTGGTAGGTTTGGACATCTTGCAAAATTTTGTTTTGATATACAAAAAGCTTCTAAATTACAATATGTTCCAAATAGACCATTGTTTAAGAATGTTTCTCATTTGTAAAATAATTTTAAAAGAAAATCCTTATTTGCAAATGATTTCCGTGCACGAGCTAATGGTCCACAAAAATAAATGGATCTCTTTCATTGCACAAATTACAATCGGAAGGGTCATTTGAATGAATATTGTTTTGACCATGTTAGTGCACCATATGTGCCTAAGAGGGTTCATAACCCTAGGGCTTTGAGCTTTAATGGTAGGGGTCATGTCCCTAAATCTTTTGGTACCAAGAGTTCTTGGGTACCAAAACAAATTTGATTTTCAAACTAAGAATTTTAATGTTTTTATCCTTCTTTATCTTGGTTTTGAATTTTTAATTGATCAAATCCTTTGTCTTCATGATTTTATACTTCTAAAAGATTTTTTATCCATAGTTCATGATTCTAGTACGTTTTGTAATCTTATTTTTGAACTATGAAAATCTTATTTTGATTTGTTCTTTTGAATTCATTATATAGCACAAATAGATAATTCAAATTTCAAATATGCTTTATAATGTATTCTTTATACGGTTTGATCAAGTTTTTCAAAGAAAGTTTTCTTTGTTGATCAAACATTGCTTTTGGACTTAAAATTTGATTTATGATTTCATTTGAGTAATTTGTTTTCTTTTGAAAACTTTTTACATGATTCTCATGTATTCTTTCATAAATCTATTTTATACATAATGTTTATGTTCTTTGATATGAGACATTTGTTTTAAATGATACATTTATATGTGTTCTCATTATCTCTTGAATGTAAGTGATTGTTAGCATATCTTTTATGCTTACTCACATATGTTTGCCATGATCTTCATTTCATACATTCATGAGGCATTTTGATAGGGGGAGCAATCCCTATATCCTTCTATGTGTTATACTCACCCATGCATATTGGTAGGGGGAGCTTTCGCTCTCTTATTCTTTTTGTCCCCTTTTTGATGTTGTCAAAGGGGGAGAAATTGTGAGTATATTCCTTCTTGTTTATATGCATGTGAATTATAAATTATACATTCATTTCCATCATGCATATATTCCTTTTTGTAAATTGTTTGTCATCATCAAAAAGGGGGAGATTGTTGGCCTTCTTGTTTTGATGATGTTTAACAAACAATTTACCACTAATGTTGTTTGTCTAGTATTTGTGTTTTCCTATGTATTATAGACAAACAACGTAGTTGGAGGATGGATGGAATAGAGCTTCAACGATCATATCCAAAGGAGGTTGGCGGAATGTCGGTGAAGCCTTGCTATTCAAAGTTCAAGATCCAAGTTCAAGCTTCATCCGCGAGATTACCAAGTAGAGCTTATTGAAGACCAATCAAGCTTGGGTAATTTAGTTTAGGATTTATATTATGTGTGTTATATACTCTAAGCTCAATTATCTATACACACACATTTATTGGTTTCTTCGTATATATATAGTTATATATATATATACATAAGTTTTGTACTTATGAAGTGTTGCACAGTTATGTATTTTTGACCAGTTTACAAAATAAATTATTTCTCTCAAATGGGAAGTGATATTTAAGAAATTCCTTCTCTAACATGTTCATATACACGTTTAGAAGCTTCCCTAAAAATTTTATAATTTTTGGAGTTAATTTACTGTGTCAAATTGATTTTAGAAAATCGGGTGTTTCAGCAGTTTTTAGAATCTGAAATATCTGTATTCAAATATTTATTTCTCACAAATGAGAAGTGATATTTCAGAAATTATTTTTGTAAAATGTTTATTTACATGTTTAGAAACATCCCTCAAAATTTCATAATGTTTAGAGTTGATTTACTATTTTTAACTGATTTTACAAATCCAGATACGCATAATTTTCAGCATCTGCCAAAAACTGTATATGTCATAAGTCGACTCTAAGTCGACTTATCAGAGAGCCGTTGCACAGTAACGGCTAGTTTTCTGTTTTGTTTGTTTTTGGGTTTTTGGTCATTTCCTTGGGGTTTTGGCTGATGTCTTGGGTTGTTATAAATACCTCATTGCATTTACCTCTCCCTCTCTAACAAGAGAATGGTTTAAAAGATTTTAACAAGGGTTTAAACTTGTTTAGTGTTTGTTTAAGTTTGTTTTAAGAAGCTTTTAAGCATTTGAGTGTTTCGGTTTTGTGATTCAATTCTACAAGAGCTTGAGGAGATCATCTATTGGTGTTTGGGCATTCAACTATTCTCCCTCCAACTCTTGATATATTGAGAAGTTTTCTAAACTCTATTTCTAGCTTTTTTATATATTTGATTATCATTGTTATTAAGCTAGAACTACATTGAGTTTAGTTTTGATTTATATCTCTTTGTTCACACACAACCTATTGAGCTTATTGTATTTACATTCATAGTATAATTTGGGGTTGTGGGTTTGTGACTAAGAGTTGTGCTTAATTGAGTTCTCACCTTGTTTTGAGAACAATCATTTGTCATATTTGTGCTTATTGTGAGAATCACTTTGTAATACACTTGTACACCGAGTGAGGAGTGTGTGGTGAGAGTCGGGGATCGTCCCAAGAGGAGTGGCGTCGGTTGACGTGCCTAGGGAGAGGTTGTAACCGAGCACTTGAGGGAGACACGGCTAGGTCCAACACTTAGTGGGTGTAGAGTGTGATTACAAGAGTGTGAGTTGTAGAGTTTTCGGTTAGCTAGAAAACCGAGTGTGTAGAAGAAGTTCCGGCTTCCAAACCGGATTGTGTTAGTGGATTTCTCCCCGGGAGTGGGGAGCGGAGACGTAGGACGGAAGGTCCGAACTCCGTGATCATATTGCTTGTTTGAGTGTGCTTTGGCGTTCATTCATATTTATGTTCATATCTTATATCGCCATTGTGCATTGCTCATTTCTATATCATCCACTATATTGTTTAGATTGTTTACCCTTGTATTAGTTTTATATCCTTGCATATACATTGCCTATATCTCTTGTTAGGATATATCTTGTTGTTCACATTGCTTATCCTAGCTCACATATCTTGTTGTATTTCATATTGCTAGGATAACTTGTTAATTAATTTTAATTGGCATTTAATTGGATTAGATTAGCATAAGACCCTAATCACCCCCCTCTAGGGTCTAACATCTCTCTCTCTCTCTCTCTCTCTCTCTCTCTCTGACTGAAAAAGATGTAAGGCATATTTCCAATCAATTTTTTTAAGGCTGTAGCATAAGAGTAGGTAAAGCTCAAGATATAAGGATATAAACAACTAGATCAAGCATAAAAGAACAATGAGAAAATTTGACTTAATGGTAATGGAAAAGTGGCATGGTGGCATCATCTTAAAATAATAACAAAAGAAATAATATTTTGTGTCCAAATTAGTTAAAATATATTAATTAGGTAACAACTCTAAGAACTAATGCATGGGTTCATGTTATGGGAACAGTAAGGATATTCTAAAATATGTATACAGAAGTACGAATGGCCAATTCATTCACTTAAACATGATTTTTGTAGGCTTGCCTACTGGCTACAAGTGTGGAAAGTAATCATAATTTGCAATTTTGAACAATATAAATACTTACGGGTCCAATATCTGCAACCAATTGAGCACGGAAGGAGAGAGCAAGACCCCAATTATAAAGTGCTCTGACATCATTCCCATCAATTGACAAGGCGGTTCTATACTTCCGTCCCGCTTCAACAAGAAGCACTTCACATTCTTCACACACTTCAACAAGGGTTGTTTCAACATCCTCTCTACTTAACTCACAAGTGTTCAACTTCTTAGACTCTACAGAGCGACCTTTTCCTTTCAGTGAGGCATCATTTCTTAATAGGAGAGTTCTCAATTCCTTACTAATCTTCAATTTAAGCTCTCCATGAAGAAGATAAGTATTTCCCAACTGACCCACTGCAAGCAAACTCATTGGCCTTATAGCTTCAGCAGCAGAAAGCAATTTTGCAGACTTATAAAGAATGGACTCTGTTGTCTCCTCAGTAGTTTGATGCCTCAAACATTCTCTTGCTTTCTTTAGAAGGTTTGTGGCCTCTTCCATATATCGACTGAATTCTTCATCAGCTGAGATTTTGGAAGTTGATGGTGTCTTGCCTTCCTCACTACCATGTACTGGTTGTTGAGTGGCTTCAACAGATTGGTCTTCGGATTTGAGTATTGGTTCTTTGGTCAGGCTTCTAGTTCTATGCCGATTGGAAGGATTATGAGTTCTATCCGATAACTCAAATGTTTCATCTAACGAAGATGTCTCGGACTCTTTAGTAAAGAAATCCATGCTTTCTGTTGTTCTCTGGTCAATACCTAAATTAGTATAGTGACCAATGTCCCTCTGCATTAACCGGCGTTCATAGTTATGTTTAAACACTCTTCTCCTGAAATTTTGTTGCTCTGAAGTAAACCTAGAGCTTCTATTCATATTATTAAGCTCTTCCTCGTATGAGAGCATATCATTAGCATACCCACTATCTTTAGAACGATAAAATGTTCTACCATGCGTTGATTCTTCAATATTTTGGACAGGATCATCAAGTCTCACTACGGTCTTAATACCCCTACCCTTATCTTTCTCCTCTGCCTTCGGTTTACTTGGTTTCTTGTTAAACATTAATTCCGACCCTTCAATCCAAGCATTCTCTTGATTTTCAGTCTCACTGCCGGAAGCTACTGAATTTAACTGTTCAGTTGCGTTTCCCTTAGAATTATCCTTCACTTTTGGTGTCTCTTGAAACAATGCACCAATATACTGAATAAAATCGAGTTCCTTTCTTTTCTTACTAGATTTCGTATTTATTTTCTTCGTCCTTCCAAATTGAAACGAATCAAAATCCCAATGCCCATTTAGAATCTCACCAACAATCGAACCCCCCACATTCTTCTTCATACACTCGATCACCTCGAGATAACCCTCAACTTTGCTTCTATCTAAAAAATCAAAACTCAGCTCGGTACCTTTCTCCAGTTCACTCATCAAACCATCAAGAAAACTCTCCAAGTCCCTGACTTTCTCATCAGCAACCCTAAACCTAGCCGATCCCGCCAAAAACCCACCAACGAAAACCAAAACTGAAACCGGAACAACAAGCATCGAAGAGAAGCGAACCTTGGAGACCGCTAATGCCGAGAAGAACCCTAGAGAGAAAGTGAAGGCGAGCTTAGAGTCAACGGGCCCCAAAGAGATCAACCAGTCGGTTGAGCTTCTGGAACCATCCAGAAGCTCGAGATCGTCCCACCCGTTGTAATTGGAAGCGTTAACTGAGCAGGAAATTGAGGCGGGTTTTGGCTTTGGGATGGGGTTAGGGTTAGGGTTAGGGCTAGGGCTTTTGAGGGCGAATGACGACGATTTGATGGAGAGAGGGGGGAGAGGGAGGAGGTAGCGGGATGCTAGGATCTCCATGGAGGGAGGTCTTTTTGGAGATTTGGAGGTAAGAGTTTGCCGTTGAACGGGGGATCGTTTGCTGAGGCTGAAGAGATGAGATTCGGACTTTTTCCAGACAAGTGGGTCTATGATCCGGTAACCCCAATAGGGTGAGCAAATGGTCGGTTGGTCGTATCCACTTTTGTCAAAACTAGCTGGATTGCACGTCCAATGCGCGTGGTAAATTTTTTATTTTTTGTAAAAAATTTATATTCTTTTTATAATTTTTTTTATAAAATTATGGAATGTAAGTAATGGATAAAACATATAGACATAATCTAAACATTTAACATTTGAACATTTAAATTACATTTATTGATTGATTGGGCGATAATTCACTGGTTGCATCTATAATTATCGTGAATACATCAAGTTTATTACTCATTGCAATATTTATTACATAATAATTGTTAACATGAATTGGCTGATAGATTATCATGTATATTTAACACCAAGATAATTTAAAATTTAAGTTATTATATAGGATCTTGACCCTTTTTAAGTAATCAGTTTTTTTACTGCACGTTTGTCAACATTAAGAACTAAAATGTTATTGACATAGGAGTAAATTATGGCTACATAAAATATAGAATACCCAATTAAAACAAATGACAAAATATCTTCTCATCTCATTGCACTTTTAGTGTAAAATTTGCATTAATATATCATTTGATAATATATTGCAAAGTTAATTGCAGAATAGACTTCCTTCTTGCTATTGCAATATAATGTCAATCTCATATTTGAAATTACTATATATGAACTAAATTGGAACTTTTCTATGGATTGTATTGAACATTTCCAGCAAGGCAAAAAACAAGGGAAAAAATTGTCCAATGCAAATTATGGAAGCATATTTTTTCACAATCATCCAACATATGCAAACAATATATCCTATCAGACAAATAAATTTTTCTCTCATTCTTATCCATTTGCATCAGATGCACCAGCTTCTCAACACCTTCTGTAGTTATTAGCGACCCTTTTTTTGCTATTTTTACAATCTCAGATTTTCCCATATTGTTTAGTCTAGATTCACCATCCTCCAGCTTAATAGGACCTTCTCGCTTAATAGGTCAAAAGCATATTAAAAATAAATTGTATTGTTGAACAAATAGAATTACAATAATTTGTAAATTTAACAATATATGAAACTTGCAGCAAATCAACTTGACTATAAGAAAACAATTTCAGACGGTGAATACTTATCACAACTCTTAACAATGATATTTCTAATTAACTGAATTCTATAACTTTAAACCGTGTGAACTTATAGGAGCTACATTTGTTTATCTTTTATTCTTGTTTTTTTGAAAGCTCATTGGCTTACATCACAGAAACTTTCACAAACAGAGTACATGGATAGATTGTGGATGGAAATATGACCAAACTCTTTCCTTACAAATTATCTGGGTGCATGAATTGCTTGTTGGTGCGCATTTTAGACTGTTTTCTACTGGTCAAGAAAAACATTTTCATTTATCAAACAATGCAGTATTTTTGTTATTTGAGACTCATAATTCTTTATTACTCTTCATCAATCTGCAGAAACTCTATAAAAAAAACTCTCAAGCCTTCTGTATACCTCACTAACTTACAGGGCCTTTGCAGATGCAACAACATTCTCCACTGTCAATCCAAACTCCCTGTAAATTTTCCCGGCAGGGGGCACTTGCCCCAAATCTATCAATCCCAATAGCTTTGCCCTCCTTCCCTACATATTTCTCCCATCCCATCGTCGATACCGCTTCGATACTAACCCTGGCTTCCACGTTTTCGGGAAGCACGCTCAATTTATATTCTTCAGTTTGCTCCTCAAACAACTCCCAGGAAACAAATGAAACAACTCGAACTGCTTTTCCCTCTTTCCTCAGTTCATCAGAAGCCTTCGCAGCAATCTCAAGCTCAGAACCGGTTGCCATCAGAATAAGATCAGGCTTGTTGTCAGAAGAGTTATCTGAGATTACGTATCCTCCCTTTTCTACTCCTTCGATTGAAGTTCCAGAGAGCTGAGGGAGTTTCTGACGAGAGAGAGCAAGGACCGATGGCCTTTTTCTGTTAAGAAGCGCGACTTTATAAGCCCCAGCAGTCTCAGTGCCATCAGCTGGCCTGAGCATCAAAATGTTAGGCATTGCACGGAAGCTGAAGAGGTGCTCGACGGGATGGTGGGTGGGCCCATCTTCACCGAGCCCGATGGAATAATGGGTCATCACGTAAACGACTCCAGCTTCGCTCAGGGCTGAGATTCTCATCGCGGCCCTCATGTAGTCTGTGAAGACGAAGAAGGTGGCACAGTAGGGGATGAGGCCAGGGCTGTGGAGGGCGATACCGTTGCAGATGGCGCCCATGCTGTGCTCTCTGACACCAAAGCGAAGGTTCCTCTCTTCAGGCGTGTCCTTCTGGAAGTTTCCGAAGGTTTTGAGCAGTGTCATATTAGATGATGCAAGGTCGGCACTGCCTCCAAGGAATCCAGGGATGACTTTTTCGAGCGCGTTAAGGCACTGTTGTGATAGATTTCGGTTAGCATCAGCTGGGCTTTTGGCTGTGTAGGTCTTACCATAGGCAGCTAAAAAAATTGTGTCATTAAATTGGTCTTTTAATTCTTAGCCAAACGAAACACTAAACAACGTTTCTCATAAAATGTTGGTTCAACTTTCCTTAGTCAAATGGTTCTCCATTTTGTTCATCACTTTCCGACGCAATACTTACAAAATTTCTATTAGTGATAATTCTTAGCCAAACGAAACACTAAACAACGTTTCTCATAAAATGTTTTGATAGTTGATAAGTTCTAAAGAACACATCTTGAGCTGACTATACAATTGGAAAATGACAAAAACGTAGATCACAATCACAACATCAAAAAGCCAAAACATGAAGTAGTGACATATGCAAACCAAGCAGATAAATCACATTCTTAAAAATTGAGATAGATTTAGAATCCAATTATAACCTTAAATATCCAGTCAAAAAGGGTATTTCTGGGGCAATATGAAACTTCTGGTAGTTACATTATATGTCAGAGCTTATTATGGCCTATATAACTCCCTTTATGTTTTAAAATATTTATTATTGAACTGTTCTTTCAGACTACTCGTTCCAATTTCCACGCACATTCTTAGTAGCACTTCATAAGGTTGAGAGGTTACTTATAATCCTAACATGAAAAACATTAACTGATGTTGCTTTTAAAAGTGGAATTTGCAAATTCACAGTACTTGCATTTGTCAACTCTTAAACATCTCAAGATGCATAAATCATGTCCTGTCACCTCTTTGATTAGAATAGCTGGCTAATCACAGTTTGTGAGTCTCCCTATTTTAAAATAATTTGGTGAACCAAAGCTTCAATCCATACTCCCAAAATTAAGTAAATACAATGCACTGCTCCTGCACCTGACAAACTCTATGTTTTAGTTAATTTGAAATCTCATACTATTGTTACGCAAAATACCATCATTTCCGGCACTTTCCATCTATTCAAAATATGTCTAGCCGTCATCCTTTACATCCATCTTCTTGCTTGTACTTCAACACTGATTCACTCTCTAATTATGATCAAATTAAATATGATGCATGGTGCCTATGAATGAATATGTATTCAAAATATGTCTAGCCGTCATCATTTACATCCATCTTCTTGCTTGTACTTCATCGTTGATTCACTCTTTAATTATGTTCAAATTAGATAAGATGCATGGTGCCTATGAATGAATTACAGGAAGGACCCCAGAGGAAGCAACCTGAATGGGGAATGCAAGCTCTCCCCACTTGGGGTTGTCAAATGCATCGGCAAGCCTCATTGTCATTGCTCCCTTCTGCAGCATCATCAGGATTCTCGACTAACTTGGTTATAGCCACAACTTATTCACCTCATCTTCAGCTTCCTCCACCGTCTCTATCTAATGCCGCACATCGTCACCTCCGGTTCTCTCCATACTCTCATTCATTATTTTTAGTATCTAAATTTTTTTAATATCCACTATATGCTTATAATACAAACATTCCAAAGTAAATGAAAATGTCATTGAAATCACTATAAATAATTAGATCACAACATAGAGATTCAAAGCATAGAGCGAAGGAAGAATATAAACCTTGGCGGTCTACTAACTGCAGATTGTCTAGCCGACGAAGTAATCAGCTGCAGCTGCAAATCCAAATCCTTGTCAAGCGTCAGGCACCTTGACAGAAACTTCATGTAAGTCTCACAATATCAGGGCATCAGCTTACCATAAGAAAGGCATAAGAAATGGAATTGCTATAATGTAGTGATTTGCATAATTGAATCAACTGTCACAAGCAACATGTTCTTCTGTTATTTTGAGTAGCACATCTGCTTACTCTAAGACCACACTAAACAAACAGTAAGCTTGCAAAATAGCACTTCCACAAATAGCAAAAGTTTCAAAATGAGTAAAATAAGTAGGTGAAGGCGGAGAATTAGGGCAAAATTAGAACAAAATGAGAGGACTTAAGAACTTAAAGGGGTAGGGTGAATTGAGCAGAACTAAAAAAAATCCCCAACAGTAACCCCATTCCACATAACCTTCTAACTTTCAATATTATTTTCAGAAACACCCCAAAACTTCTGACATTATTATCCCTTGTCACACCGTTAGGGGTGTATATTGAAATTATGAGGGGATCAAATAAGCTCAAGAAGCTCAGAACGTACAGTTCCAATCAAAATCACATGTGAGAGCCTAAACACCCATAATTAACATTCCACAATAAGGTTTTTGGGTACAAAGAATTATGTGGCTTGACATGCATGTCCACAAAAATGAAAAAAAAAAGGACTCACAGCCTCAGAGACACATAATAGAGAAAAGGATGGTGAAAACTAAAGGTACGCATGATTCTTTTGTGACTTTAATAAGTTGGTTGTCCTCTGGAGTTCCCTCAGACACTTCAATAAAGATATCCGAAGTATATATTGAGGATGTTTCGTCTCTAATATTGAAGTGTATGGGGGAACTCTGGCGGGCAATCAACATTTTCCTCATAGGTTTGGAATTACTTGATGAATACTACAAACATGTTGCTTATCCCCGGGAGTTCCCTCAAACACTTCGTTATATAACTCGATCTCTCTGATACCAGGGAGGTAGTATTCTACTGAATTGTTTGGGGGAACTCTGGATGGTAATCAAACACAGATGGGGATGTAAATATGCATGCGTGCAGTCGGATGAAAGAAGTTTGTTATAGGTCCA